TACTTGGGAAAAAATAGTTTCTGTATTCTTCCAGATGTCTTTATGCATATATACACATCTGTATACACACACATACATACATACACACACATACATACATGTGTGTATGTTTGTTCATGTATCTACATATGAATTAAAACAGAATTTAAAATATCTTTTTGTATTGCCAATATTTAAAAACTTGCAATATAGTTTCTCAAAATGGAAAGAGAAATACTTTTCATTGCCTACTAAGCAGAAGTAAAAGTGTTAGGTATTTTATGGATACTTAGGAAGGTATTTGCTCAAGTGTGTTTAACTTATCACTGAGCACTGCAGTGCTCACCCGATGCAAGAACTACTTTGTCAAGGAGTTGAAAGATAATGTACCCTAATTAGCTTTTCCCTCAATATGGTCCACTTGACCTACTTAAAATGTATGTGATTTATAAGTTTTTTACCTTTATTTATAATATGATCTGGAAGCAACGTATAGATACACATCTGCTTATTTACGTATAATTGGAAGGTTATTTAAGGTAGGTTTTTATTTAGTTTTTGTTCAGTAGATTCTATAATTTACACAGGGATGGAGATCAACTACTGGAGAAAGCAAAACATTTAGTTTGAAAACTCAGGTTGGTTTAGTTGAGCTAAATTTGAACATACTCATGATTTTAAGAGTAATGAATTACCTTGAAATTTATCCTTTGAATTATAAAGTCTGTAAGTATAGAGACTGTGTTTATCTAGTTCATTGCTATATTCCCAGCTTTTAGAACATAGGAGGTCTTCAATAAATATTTGTTTATTATATGTATGGAGTGATGATAGATAAGAATGTAGAATAGGCCAGTATTGCATTCATTTCAGATCTTTCAGTTCATTATGATTATGTTCTTTTAGCAACTTTATGTAGGAACTACTTTGTAATCATTTCATTCTTCTTATATTTCTGCAGATGATAAAAGCAAATACAATGAGGCTACGGGCAGTCCTCTGTAATAGACGTGAAATGGTCATTATATGTTTGTTGGTGGTAGAGCTATCTCTGAACTATCATTATCCGTAAATAGCAGCTTCCGCATGCAGCCTGGTCAACTCCATTCAGAGCTGGCTCCTCCTCCAGAGAAGGGATATAGACAACAGCAAGTCTCTGTGACTCCTTTTGGTGATGAGAGTGTAATCCACCTGCTGATTCAAGGAGCCAGATTGGTTCTTGTTAGGCCCTGCTGGTTGTGGCGCTCAGTTCAGTAAAGACTAGGTTTGAGAAGCTTAGTGGTTGAACTTAAAGTTTCCCCAGGAGGGGATCAATTGCTCCTTTTGCTGGGTTTCGTTATACTTTGCTTTTGCCTTATTATAGTATTTACCTCATTCTGCTGAGTGTTATGGTTAGGTGTTTCTATGTGTCGTTCTCTCTAGATTTGCTGTTTTGAGTGCTAGGAATGCCTTGTCTCTGTACCTTTCATAGCTATAGCACAGATTTAAACTGTTAATCCTTATAAATTTTGCAAAATTATAGTTCCTCCTATAGCTACTTTTATATGCCACATCAAATTCTTTTCAAACAAGGCAGGTTTAAGTAAGTAGTCACTTAGAAAAAAAGTATGGATTATAGCAAGCTCTCCTCCATCTTATAATTTCAGAAGTCCAATATTTGGTTTTTTTAAAGTAACAGCTTTATTGAAATATAATTCACATTCCATACAATTCACCCACTTAGAGCGTATAATTAAATATTTTTTAGTATGTTCATTGAGTTATGTAACCATCACCACAAACAATTCTGGAACATTTTCATTACCTCAAAAAGAAACCCTGCACACTTTAGCTGTCATTCCCTTTTCCCCATTAACACCCCCCTCCCCCGCCACCCCGCCCTAGGCAGCCATTAATCTACTTTCTGTCTCTATAGATTTGCCTGTTCTGATCAATGGAAACATAATACATGGTTTGTCGTGACTGGCTTCTTTCACTTCCTTCACTTAGCCTAATGTTTTCCTGGCTCATCCATGTTATATAGCATATCTCATTCCTTTTTATTGCCAAATAATATTCGGTGTTATGGATATATGCCATATTTTATGTATTCATTTATCTGTTGGTGGACATTTGGGTTGTTTCCAATTTTTAGCTATTGTAAATACTGCTTCTGTGAACATTCATATACAAATGTTTTTGTGGATGTGTGTTTCATTTCTCTTGAATATATAGCTAAGATTGAAATTCCTGGGTCATATGGTGACTCTATGTTTAGCCTTTTGAGGAACTGCCAGACTGTTTTCCAAGCAGTTGCATCATTTTACTTTTGCATCAGTAGTGTATGAGAGTTCCAATTGCTCTATATCCTTACCAACACTTGTTGTTATCTATCTTTTTGGTTAAAGTCATCCTAGTGGGTGTGAAGTGGTATCCCATTGTGGTTTTGATTTTCATTCCCTGATAGCTGATGATATTGAGTATCTTTTTATGTGCTTTTTGGCCATTTGTATATCTTTGTTGGAAAAATATTTGGATCCTTTGCCCATTTTTAATTGGGATGTTTGTCTTTTTATAACTTAGTTGCAAGAGTTCTTTATGTATTCTGGATACAAATTTTTTTTATCAGATATATGATTTACAAAGCTTTTCTCTCATTCTGTGGGTTGTCTTCACTTTCTTGATGGTATCTTTTGAGCACAAAATTTTTAATTTTGATGAAGTCCAGTTTATCTTTTTTTTTTTTTTTTTAATTTTTGTGCTTTTGGTGTCATATCTAAGAAACCATTGCCTAATCCAAGGTCATGGAGATTTAAGCCTGTTTTCTTCTAAAAGTTTTATAGTTTTAGCTCTTACATTTAGGTCTTTGGTCCATTTTGAGTTAATTTTTGCAATCAGAGTGAGATAGAGATGTTGCCAACTGCATTCTTTTGCATGTGGATATCCAGTTGTTCCAGCACCATTTTTCAAAAGAACTGTTCTTTCACCATTGAATTGTCTCGACACCTTTGTTGAAAATCATTTGACAGTAAAGAGTCTCTGTTTTGAAGACAATATTCACATTGTTACCCTTTCCCATCAATGTTCTCCTTTTTTGTTAATTTTGAAAAAATTTTGGAAATCTCAAACTTGTAGAAAAGTTGCAAGTACAGTACAAATAACTTGATTTTCTTGAGCCATTGAGAGTAAGTTGCCAACATGGTAACCCATGATGACCCTGTTTGTATGTATTTCCCACAAACAAGAACATTCTCCTACATAACCACAATATAACCATCAAAATCAGAAAATTAACATTAATGTGTAATTGCCATCTCATCCTCAGATCCCAGTCAAGTTCTGTCCATTGTCCCAATAATGTCCTTTATAACAATATGATCCAGTCCAGAATCATACATTGTGTTTGACAGTCATTATTCTCTAGTTTTCTTCAAACTGGTATAGTTCCAGAAAGTCAGTCTCTCTTGACTTCTGTGACCTTGACATTTATGAATATTACAGTCCAGTTATTTTGTAGAATGTCTCTCAATTGTGGTTTGTCTGATGTTTCCTCATGATTAAATTCAGTTTATGCATATTTGGCAGGAATATCACAAAAGTGATTTTGTAGCCTCCTCAGTGCATCCTATTAGGGGCCTATATCTCACTATTACTGGTGATATTAACATTGATTACTTTTGTTTGCTAGGCTTCTTTACTATTATATTAGTCTTTTTACTTTTGTGATTAATAAGCATTTTGTGGGAAGGCCCTTTGGGATTATATAAATCCTCTTACTCATTAATCTCTCAGTTTTTTCGTGTATTTATTTATATCTTCATGGACACATAGATTCCTGTTTTGTTTAATGGCTTATATTCCCTTACTGTTATTGTTTGTATTGATGTTCCAGTTGTTCCAGATTTGGTATTGGGAACCCCTTTGAGCTGGTTTCTTTGTTCTTTTGTCATGGCCCCTCATTCTTTGAGTGCTTGCTTATTTTTTGGCACAGGATGATGTTCCAGGTTCATTTGGCTCTACTCCAGCCCTGGAATCAGGTATTTTTCCAAAGGGCCCTGGTTCCTTTCAGTAGAGAATAGCATGAGAAACCAAGATCTGGGTGCTAGGTGTGCATATTGGGCTATTGCTGATCCCAGGACCTCTCAGGACAGAGCTAGGGAAGAGTCGTATTCCCTATATGTACAGACATTTACTTCTGTCTGTCTATATATTGAGTTCACATCAATAGCTGCCATTCCAGTCCAAACCAGAGGGTTCATTCTATTTTTTTACCTTTCTGTATTTGTAACTTCCTTTTTAGACTATAAGAAACCTGGCTTCTATTATCTTTAATAGGTTTACTTATTTGATCCATCTCTCTGTATGTACCCAATCTCTTATAGCTATTGCTGCATTTCCCCTGCCACCTCCCATCCCCTACTCAAGTGGAAACTTTTCACTCTTATCTGGCATTGTCCCATTGCATTGGGATACCCACCTCAATGTGTCCTCATTGGCTAGGTTTCCAACATTCTGTGCCACCCGGGCCCCATGCCAATGCCCTTATTACTTCACTGAGCTTCAACAGCCCGCGCATCTCTTCACCCTGCTTGAGCTCTGAGATCTTGGGCTGTGCTGCTGCCCCCCTGTATGGACATAATTCTCTCTCACCTGCTTTGGACTCTGATACGAACTCTTGGCCATCATGACCAGTCCTGCTTAATGACTTTTGGACTGAATTGTTTATGAAGGGACTTCGCATTGTCTTTTGAGAGATAGTGAAGTTTTTTTGGATGTCTGTTCAGAATTAAAAGTTAATACTTTTTTAAGAAGGGAAAAAACCCAAATAGCTGGACAGTTTCACTTTTCAGGCAATTATTGGTAGAATTCTAAAAGGATTCCTTCTTTGGCTAATGTTCAACATTTAACATAAAATAATACTTAATTTGATTTATAATTATTTGAATCTTAACATTCATTGGTTAATAAGCTGTTCCTGACTGAGGAAATTAGAAAACAAATAATAATTTACATCTACAAAATAATGTTTATTTCTCTTCTAGCTCTTCCACCAAAGCCACCTAAGCCAATGACTTCAGGCATTTCAAATGGAATAAAGGACAGTTCTGTTTCTCTTCAGGATGCAGAATGGTACTGGGGGGATATTTCAAGGTAACAAGAATGCTACTATAATTAAATACAATTTAAAAAAAATCGTTTTTGAGAATTAGTAGTTAAAACATTTTACTGCCCCACTATTTGTCATTTAAAGATTAGTTACCATTTTGAAAATGTGTTAGGACATTTCAAAAGTTTCTAAATGTTTTTTTCCCCTATCAAAAAGTGACAAGAAAATCTTTAAATTATGGATGTGATTAACTATTACTTTTAATACTATATTGAGGATAGATTTCTGAATAAATGAAACATACACTTAGGATAGCTACGGGTTTTAGGATAAAAGATACTTATAGGTACTTAATTTTCCTTACCTTTCTGTTTCTAAGGCAATGGTTCCACAATCTTTGCATGCACAAGAATCAATTGGGATGGGGCGTAGGAACCTCCATTTAACAATCTCCCCAGGTCATTTTGATGCACTGTTCACACAGCTCATTTTGAGAAACAAGACTCTAGGACAGATTTGCTTTTTGGGTAAAATGTGGTTTTGGAAAATTTTGAACCTAGAGAAGGAAAAAATATATATACATTGATGCTGAAGACATGTCCTTCTCTTTCTCTTGTCCCTTTTCTCCCATTGCCAAAGTGGCGCTCATTTCTTATTTTTTTCCCCTCATCATTTAAGAATCTTTAAATGTGCAGTTCAGTGGCATAAAGTACATTCACATTGTTGTTCAACTATGACCACCATCTGTCTCTAGAACTATTTCATCTTTCCAATTCTATCCGTTAAACACTTACTCCCCTTTCCTCCTCTTCTCCCCAGCCCCTGGCAACCACCATCCTACTTTCTATTTCTATGAATTTGACTGTTGTAGGTGCCTCATATAGGTGGAATCATACAATATATGTCCTTTTGTGACTGACTTATTTCACTTAGCATAATGTCGTCAAGATTCATCCATGTTGTAGCATGTGTCAGAATTTCCTTTCTTTTTAAGGCTGAATGGTATTCCATTATATGTATATACCACATTTTAATTTATTTATCTGGAATTTTGGCTTTGATGAACATTGGGATTGTTTCCAGCTTTTGGCTGTTGTGCATAATGCTGCTATGACTATTGATGTATAAATATTTGTTCAAGTCCCTACTTTCAATTCTTTTGGGTGTATACCCAGAAGTGGAATTTCTGGGTCATACACCAATTCTGTGTTTAATTTTTTGCAGAAGACTTAATGTATTTTATATTAAAATTGATCAGAAAACTTTTATTTTAGCATTGCACAATAAAAAGATCTATTATATTTAAATACCATTTAAATTTATGTTTTAAGACCCTGTGATTCTATAATTCAAGGGTCTTTTATGCCCTGCCATTTCCTTTGAATGTTCTAGTGTTGTTCCTTAAAGTCCTAAACCAACACTGCAGAAGAAATTTGTTATCAGTAGAAATTCAAATTGGAGACTATTATATTGAAAGGTTGTGAACTTAGTGAATTTTGCCCCCTCTGCTCAGACACAGCTGCCACTGTTGCTTAAATATAACCTTCTTTCTAAACAGCTGCCGGACTTTCCTGAAACTCTACAAGTTTAGACCTGCCTAAGGTAACCCTAAAGTCTTAATGGAAATGTTATCCCCTACAGACAGTTGAAATCTGGAAGTTTAAAAAGCAAATAGTCCCTCTTTAGATTGCATATCACTGAAAATCAAAACAGAAAGAACATATGTAGGGAGAAGAACTAAGTGACCTCTGAGGGCCCCCATGATTTGGTAACCTTAGACATATCTACCTCCCAACTAGCCTTAGTGATAATATGTGAAAAGAACAATTGATGCTTACGTTTTTTTCATTTTTCCTATAATTCTGTTCTTCAGGGAGGAGGTAAATGACAAATTACGAGACATGCCAGATGGTACCTTCTTGGTCAGAGATGCCTCAACAAAAATGCAGGGAGATTACACTTTGACTTTGCGGTGAGTATTTTTCAGCATTTTGGCTAGTGTTCTACTAGCATTGTTTATGTCTAGGTTTACAAAGATTTCTTTGTTTTTATTTTTTATCTATTTTATTTATTTATTTATTTGGTGGGGGGGGGTCTTCTGGCGAGGACCAGAAAATCTGTTCGACAATTCTAAAAGGGCTGTAATACTAAGATTTCTTTATTTTATTTAAAACTTTATATACACATTTTTTCATATTTTTATTTAATTTAGATGCCTAATTTTTAGTTTTTTGGCTAACTGTCCTTTTTCTATATGTTAAATATTTAAATGTCATATAAAAATGGTAACAATTTTTATTTTTACATAACAATAAAACAAAAAGGTGAAAATGTGTAAATGTAAGGAATTAAGAAGCGTACTGTTGAACTTATGAGTGAAGCAGAAGTCACAGGCACAGCCTAAGGTTATTAATGCTATGTTGTGAATCCACCCCTCTTATAACCCTGTTATTTTTCTTAGTGCAGACTTCATAGAGTAAAACTCAACATAATTTAGGCTGATGAGGATACATAGAAGATAAAGCAGTTCTCAGCTTGTATCATGCCATCCATGTGGGCATATTAGAATCTCATAAGTGGTGGATGTATCACTTTTTATATTTACAAAGATGGGATATATATTTTAAAAGATTAGTAAAACTGTTAGATAATTCCACATTTAATTTTAATAATTAAAATAGCCTAATTACAATAAAGTCTTGTGATTTTATTAAAAAGGGATTTTCTAAAAAAAAATTGATGATAACAACAGTAACAATAACAACTCCTTTGTACTAAGTAGCATTTTACATACAATATCTTATTCCTCACAACAATCTGATAAAATATAGGTATTATTAATATTTCTGTTTTATAGATGAGGCAACTGAAGCTTAACCTGGTCAAGAGACTTGCCTAAAGACACATAGCTAGTAAGTGGCAGAGGATGGGTTCAAATCTAGATTTATCTGACTCTTTGCTGCCTTTCCAGCCTAGTATCTTTAGGAAAAATAATGCTGTATTTTATGCTAGAAATTTGGAGTCACTATATTAGTTTCTGGTAAAGACATTAAGAAGTTAATGCTTTGGGACTTCAGTTGTGCTGAGGAGTAGTCAGTGTTCTACAGTGATTCATTCAACACGATGTTTTCCCCCTCTAGTCAGGCTTCTGTTTCTACCACTCTACAGGGACTGCTAAACCAGTGGCCACTTCTCTCTTCTTACCTTACTTGACCTCTTAGCAACATTAGTCATAGACACTTTTTCCTAGAAAGTTTATTGTCTTGACTGTTGTGACATCACACTCTCTGATTTTCTTCCTAACTCTAGGCCACTCCTTTGTTCAGTATCTAAATGTTAAGTGTTGCAGGGCTCAGACTTGAACCTCCTTCTCTTCTCTGTATTCTTTCTTGAGCTTGTCCTGTCCCATGGCTTTAATATACAACTACATGGTGATGATTCATAAACCTCATCTCCATCTCTGACCTTCAGAACTCCAGGTACATGTATCCAGTTGCCTACTTGACTTTGCCACTTAGATAACTAGGGGACACACTGATTTTAACATGGTCAAAGCAGAATTCTTGATTTCTAACCCAACTCCCCTATCCAAACTGTTTCTCTTCTAGTCTTTCCTTTTTCAGAAATAGAACCACTATCTCTACAGTTACTCAAGCCACAAATCTTTTTTTCCTTTCTTTCCCTCACCCTCACATCTAATCCATCATTAAATAAGTCCTGCTAACTCTACCTCCAAACCTATATTCATAATCTCTTCACATTTCTCTACCATCCAATTGAAGCCACTATCGTCTTGCTTGATCTTTTGCAGTCGCCTCCTAACAGGCCTCCCAGCATCTTACAACTTCTAACCTTCCCCACCCCTGTTGACCATTTTCGGCACAGTAGCCAGAGTGATCATTTTAAGATATGAGTCTGATTACTCCTTTGCTTAAAACTCTCTAAGAGTTTCCCTACTGCATTTAAGATAAAGAATTTGGATTTTGTTCTAACTTAACAAAACTCTCTTTGACCTGGTCTTGGTCTACTTTTTACACTTCATTTCTTGCCACTCTCCCTCTGTATCCACTACATTGAATCCTACCTGCCTTTCTGTACCTCAGACAAGTGAGGCTTATATCCTGCCTTAGAGCCTTTGCAGTAGCTGTTCCGTCTGCTATTTGCATAGCTGTTCTTTCTGATCTTTGCAGAATTGGTTCCTTTTTGTCATTTAGATCTCTGCATAAATGCCACCTCTGCAAGTCTTACCTAACCACTCAATCCAAAGTAGCCGTCTGAGGATATATATTGCTCAATTTAATTCTCTGTTTGGGCTGCTCACTGTCTATTTTCTTCTCTTCTCCCACCTTGTCTGTTTCATCCCGCTGGAATTTAAGTTCTCTGAGATTGGGGATTTGTTTAATGTATGCTGTATCCCCAGAATCTAGATAAGTACGTGATAATGGATAGGCATTAGATAATGGGTGCCTAGTAAATATTTATTAAACGAACGAATGGCCTTATTTATTTGGAACATGATTTTATTTTGTGATGGGTAGATCCCTAATTGCAATTAGCTTAAAATCAATAAATTTTGTATCTTTGGGATGAGGAAAAGAGCCTGTAAAATTACACTACCTGAAGCTGTGGTGCTCTTCAAGAGCAAAGGCCAGCAAGCGGTCCCACTCACTGTCTCCTAGTCTCATGAGTCACCATGAGAATTCTTATGCTAGAGATCTACAGCTGGAAGGGATCTTTAATACTGCCTGGTTCAACTAGGTTTCTCCAGATGTAGGAATTTCCTGCATAGCGTTTTTCAGAAAGGGCCATTGAGCTTCATGTAATCTTTCCATCATAGGGAGCTAGCAACTTCCTTTTGAGGCAGCCTATTTTATTTTTTGGCAGCTTTAAAGTGTAGAGGATTATCTTTGTGCTGAATATTGTGCTAGGACCATGAATATGGACATGAATAAGACACAGTTTTGCTCTCAAGAGTTGATAATCCAAGTGTGTAATTGTGTAATAGGAGAGACACATATATACTATACTGTAATGAAATGTGTTAAGTGTTATATTAGAGTTCTCATTATGGTCCCCTTCCCCCAGCCCCAGGTAACTGTTGTTCTGTTTTCTGTCTCTGTGAGTTTGACTGTTCCAGCCACCTCATATAAGTAGAACCATACAATATTTATCCTTTTGTGTCTGGCTTATTTCATGTAGAAAATGTCTTTACAGTTCATCCAAATTGTAGCATGTGTCAGAATTTCCTTCCTTTTTAAGGCTGAATAATATCTATTGTATGTATATGCTGCATTTTGTTTATCCATCAGTCAATGGACACTGGCAAGAATGTTTTAAAGTTTTCATGGATCTAGCACAAGATCTGACATGTAGTAAGTACTTAGTAAATATCTGAATGAAGGAAGGAATAAATGAGAGAAAGACAAAGAGAAGGTTTCTCAGAGGAAATGACAGTTGAGCTGGGCCTTGATAGATTTCGCTGGCAGAAAAGTGACGGTCTTAATTTAGTAAATACTCATAGCTTAGTAGTAGTTACTCTGCAGAGGATCTAATAGTGAGTTAAAACTTTGTCTCAAGGAAGACTTAGTCTAGTGAGGGCAAAGGAATAAAAAGACTGCTTTGAATTAAACTAAAATAATAGGAGAAGTTCAAACAATGTTCTTTGGAATCTCAAAGGAGGGGAAGAAGTATCTTGTTGAGATGGTATCGAAAGCTGTAGTTCATGGAAGAAATTGCACTTACAGTCTATCTTGAAGGGGATAGGTTTGGATATGTAGAAAGTGGAGGGGAGGTTGCAGGATGAGGTAACAGTAGGAACAAAGATATGAGGTTAAAAACTATAGAACCCTGTTCTGTGAGATGTAGTCCCGTTTGGCTAGAGGGTAAAGTTTGTTAAGAGGAAAAAGTGGTAGGGGATGGAAGGTTGGAAAAGGATCATGTTGAAGAGGGCCTTGAATTCTAAAATTTGGAGCTTGTATTTAATATGGTAGGTAGGCAGGGGGAACCATTGCATATTTTCAGCAGGGAAGTTATATGATCAGACTGTATTTGAATAGAAAGAATGAAAGAGGATAGAGATTAGTAAAGAGTTAGAAGGCTGTTATGAATTGAGTGATAATGGTGATCCAGAATAGAATTTATTCTTTAATCATGTAATATTTATTGAGTGTCCAAAATGTTCTAGATACTGTTCTAGGACAAGGAAATGATGAACAAGCCAGACATGGTCTCTTGTCCATAGTGTTTATATTCAGGGGTGGGGTGGGAGTGGAGGAGAGGGAGACAAAATAAACGTATAAAAAAGAAATGAGATAACTTCACAGTGTAAGAAGCTCTTTATAGTGAATGCATAGGGTTATATGACAGACAATATGAGGAAAGGGAATTTAAGATAGTTTTGAGAAGGAGGGGCTCTCTGAGGTTATGACCTGAAAACTGGAAAATTAGAAAGAGCCAGCCGGAAAAGTGTTCCAGAGAGAGGGAACAGAAAACACAAAGACACTGATTTGGGAAAGATTTAGTGGCTCTAGTGAATACAGAGCCCACTGTGGCTGGCGTACAGTGTGAACCACGGAGTGGTGGGAGATGAAGTTGAAAATGGAAAGGAACTAGATGCAGAGAGCCTAGTGAGTCACAGTAAGGAATTTGAATTTTATTTCTAAGTGCAAAAAGAAAAATCAATAAAGGGTTTTAAACAGAGGAATGACATGATTGAAAGATCAAATAAACTGTTTGTTTTTCTTTTGCTGAGGAAGTTTCACCCTGAGCTAACATCTGTGCCAATCTTCTTCTATTTTGTATGTGGGTCGCTGCCACAGCATGGCCGCCAACGAGTCGTGTAGGTCTGCTGCACCTGGGAACTGAACCTGGGCCACCAAATTGGAGTGGGCTGAACTTAACCGCTAGGCCGCAGGGCCAGCCCCAAGATCAAATACACTATTACGTAGGATAGTGGCTTTAAGGAAAGGAGTT